GTCCCTGCATTTAAGTCTTTGATTCATTTTGAATTAATGTTTGTACATTGTGTGATATAAGGGTCTAAGTTCATTTATTTGCATATGGATATTTAGTTTTTGCAGAATCATTTTGCAAAGTTATCTTTTTCTTATAGAATTACCTTGGCACTTCTGTCAAAAATCAATTAATCATAATCATGTAAGTTTATCTCTAGACAGGGTCATGCTCTGTTGCCTAGGCTGGAGTGCAGTTCTTCCATCATAGCTTACTGCAGGTTGGAACTCCTGGGTTCAAGCCATTACAGGCATGACACCAGGCCTAGCCTCCCATGTTGTTTCTTCTTCTTTCTTCCTTCCTTCTTTCTTCTTCTCCTCCTCCTCCTCTTCCTCCTCCTTCTCTTTTCCTCCTTCTCCTCTCCTCCTCCTCCTCCTTCTCCTCCTCTCCGCTCCTCCTCCTTCTCCTTCTTCCTCTTCTTCTTTTTCTATTTTGGCCTTACTGAATCACCATGTTTCATTTATACTTAATTTCTTCCCCTATCTTCTACCCCAGCAGCAACTATGGATATTTTCTGTCCCTATAGTTTTGCACTTGCAAGAATTTCATAGGAATACCATAGTATGTAGCCTTTTGTATCTGGTCTTTTAAATTCAGCATAATGCAGATGAGTTTCATCCCTGTTGTTACATTTACCAATAGTTTGTTCCTTTTTATTCCATAGGAATATTATAGTGGTCTGTAAGCTTCAAGAGAAGTTAAAACCATCTAGGTAGGACTCAATTCACAAGTTGAAAAGGTACTAAAGCAATAGAGAAGGTACAGGGTGAGATTGTAATCAAGTGATGATGATACATCTCCAAGAATTATTTCAGAGAGTTAGATTTATCCATAAACCCATTTTGAACTTGTGTCTGCAAGAGGGAATAGAATGGTCATTCTGACACCAGATTCTGTAAGAAGAGGAAGAAGGAAGTCTTCCCACAAAGTGATACAGATATCTAGTGCGGAAAGGTCCTAATTACTTGTTCTTGTATTCCCAGGAGGCAAATCTTGGGGATTATCAGGGGAAAGAGCATTTCAGGCAAATGAAATTCCAACTTCAACAGCCCTGAGATGAGATTCTCATGCTAGGATTAGTTTATAGGTAAAGAAAATAATTGATGAGATTAGCAATTGGAGTTCTTCCCGATCAAAATCAACTCTATAGTACCATGTCACTGGGAGGAGGTATGAGGCTCTGGGAGCTTGTGAGCATAGCAGTAACTGATGAGAAACATACTGAGCATTTTTTTCAGTATGTTTGCTGCCCTCTGTGAAAATTAGTGAAGCTTTTATTCGAGAAACCATGCGAACTGAGATCCTGGGGTTTGGTGGTGAAATGGCAGGGTTGGTCAACTGCTTTTACATCTGGTGTCCAAGGCTCAGGTAAGTACACTTCATATGGGCAGAGACCATCTCATACAGAATCTGCTCATTTATCTTCTCTGGCTTCTCGCATTTTCCCCTGCTAGGCTACATTATTGAAAAGGAATTTACCAGACCGTATATTCTTAGTTTCTCATGACAATGAATTGAATAACTGAATTACATATTAGTTATGTTGCTGCAGATATTTCCCATGGGAAACGCTGGAGAGGATCTTTTGGGAAAAAAACCATATTTTTGTCAAGATTACAATTATGGAGAACTTTAATAAGTGATGATCTTTCATAGATAAATTCACCAGAACTCCTTTCCATAAATTTCACAATTTATAATTTCCATATACTTTTAATAATTTTATTAAAAAGTCTCTCCAGACACCTTCCCATTTTTCCCATTGGTGTTCATTTCTGTCTTAGGCACCGGGAAGCTGAATACCATCATAGGCATTTATTAGCTAAGCATGACAGCATACCTGTGTGAAAACTGTCAGAATCAAAATGGAGTCACTATTGTTAAAACACACAAACACACAAACTAACTAAAAACGCTGATTAATAGAGCTGGAAAAGGCCATGCTTGATAACAAAAACTATCACAAAAGACTACAAAAACCATAACCTTGCACAGGCCATCACAATCCTAAACAAAAAATACTTCTATAAGGACATCTGCCCCACAACTGCCTGTCCAACCTCGGACTAGCTTCCTCTCTACGATCCATCTTTGTAGCACATGATAATTACTTCAACACAGTTATATAATCCTTCTCATTTTTTCCCTTAAAAATCTTTGTCGCTGGGCTCGGTGGCTCACGCCTGTAATCCCAGCACTTTAGGAGGCCAAGGCGGGTGGATCATGAGGTCAGGAGTTTGAGACCAGCCTGGCCAACATGGTGAAACCCCGTCTCTACTAAAAATACAAAAATTAGCCGGGTGTGGTGGCGGGCATCTGTAATTCTAGGTACTCGGGAGATTGAGGCAGGAGAATTGCTTGAACCCGGAAGGCGGAGGTTGTAGTGAGCCAAGATCGTTGCACTACAGCCTGGGCGACAGAGCCAGACTCCAACTCAAAAACACCTTTTTCTTCTTTTACCTCCCTGAATATACATAGTTTCCTATGGCACTCGTTTTTTCTTTGCAATGCTCTATTCCCAAATAAACATCATTTTCTTTCAGAGAGCTTCTCTGTGTTATTTAGGTTGACACCTGTAAATAGAATGTTATATTTCTTTTTTAAATTGTGGGGGGAGGGAGAAGTGTTGTGTTTCATTTATTTGTCCCATTACAATTGTGCAATATCATATGAGCCACTCAATTCCTAAACATAAGTACACACACAACGCACTTCTTGTCTCATGTTTTGTGTCTCGAACACAAATTACAAATTATACAAATTGTGCAATTTTCCTTGCCCTTCAGAAAGGAGAATCTCAATGCTTCCAAAATGAACTGGGCAGTAACTCCGCTTCAAGGTGGTAGGTCCCCCCTTTTCAACCCAGTTGTGTAAGATAAACTTGTCTTTATTATTCACTTCCTAAAGAGAAAGGAGGTGCTAAGCGGACAGGACAGCTGGACAACACGTGCAATAAGGGCAATGGTCCTATCTACTCTATCTAAGGGAGCAGTACACGGAATACTCGTGGGTTTTTTTTTTTTTTCTGGTTTTTTTTTGGACCTATGTGAAATTTTAAATGTTCAAGGGAATTGTTCATACAATTGTATAGTCACTATCCCTACTCAGATGAGAACATTTTAGAACATTTTGGAACATTTCTAATATCCTCGAAACTTTCCTCACGTTTCCCTATATTTTCAAAATGAACAAGAATACAGGATAGTCAAAAGCAATAGGTAAATTCTGAAGTATCCAAATAACATGCAACAACATCCTTTGATAGCTCAGCTGGTAGAGCAGAGGACTGTAGGGGTTTGAATATAGTCATCCTTAGGTCGCTGGTTCGAGTCCGGCTCGGAGGAGTTCCCTTTTAAAAGGGTCTCTCCTGGGCCTGAAATAAAGAAACTTGAAGAACGCAGTGTGCAGCTTGCTATACATGAATTTGTAAGACGCTCAGAGAAGGAAAATAATCCACCTTTAAAATTGCTAACAAGGGTTGCTTCACGGACAGTCGAGTGAGACTCAATTTTCACCAAGTTGAGGAGGGATCATGAGGAATGTGGGGAACGGGATTTTTATATCCCTCCCCTCTTCAAAAAAGGAGCAGTGTACACCTGACAGAAAGTTCTCTTCAATAAAGTTAATGAAACAGGAGTATTTGAATTCGAAGAATCTATTATTAGACTTTTAGACACTCCATGAAAGAGTGTGGGCCCTGTTACTTTAGAAATATACTTGGGGACTGGCAAAAACTGTCATCTCTGATTTTAATAGTGGACACATTTACTCCCTGCTTCCATTCTCTGGGCTACTCTGCGCTCTTGGAGCGAGATGGGAAATTTTGTCAGGCCGCAGCAAGGGCGGATTTATACTGATGGTCCTCAAACTTGCCCCGGGCTGCTTCCAGAAAGCTAATCGGATTATTTGTACTCGGTTCCCAGCAATATCCTTTGCAGTCAGCTTGTCGCTGGCGCGGATCGCAAGAACTGAAACGCCTTAAGGGTGGGGACGGCGCCCCCTGCTGGTCGCGCCCTCGGGCGACGGTAAGAGATTGAGGACTCGAGCCCGCGCGGGGAAAACGGCTATGGGCTTGGCTTAGGGATGGTTCGCAGGTCGCCTGGTAGGAGCAGGACCGCCGGGGCCTTGTCCGTTCTGTGGTTACGTAGGTCATAGAAGGAAAATTGGTTTGTGATCTGATGGGGAATCTGTGAGGACAGACCCAGGGAGGGCAGAACTAAGCGCACCGCCGGGGGGGTCGCCAGAATTGGAGGCGTGTGCGCCTCTGACAAGTATTTGCAACGTAAGTATGCATATGGATAATGTATCAATACACATGTGTAATAGATGCCAAACAAATTATTCAAATAATTGTCACACATTTAAATTTTCAGACATTCACAAAATCAAATGTAAAATATTAAACTGAAAGTTCGCAATTTAAATTTTCAAAAATTAAATCTAATTTCCAAAATTAACCGTTTTCAAAATTAAATTTTAAAATATTCAAAATTCCAAGGTAAATTTCCAGAAATAATTAAAACTTCAAAACTCAAATCTTTTAAATGAAATGTATAAACTTTAAAAGGTGAGTCATTCCTCAGCTGGAATCGCAACCAGGGCCCTCGAATAAAATGCTATTTTGATCGCTAGAACACACAGAAACTTCCCTAAAACTGCTCTTCAAAATTCCCTAAAAACCCGGCATCAACCCGCCTTTAGCGGCGTTCTATAGGGTAGGTTGTATCTGGGGATCTGCCTTTTCTGGTTCTGCCTGTCCTGAGTTGGAGATGTAACAGGGAATCTGTGAACCTAAAACAAGCTTCCTATCCCGCTTCCACGCTCTAAATCTGGCTTTCCACCTGACACCCCACTTCCGCCCTCTCCCCTCGGCCTTCCCCTTGACCCGACTGCATCGCCAATCATATCCTTTCATTTGTCATCACCGCCTTGGCCCCGCCCCCTCGTCTCAGGCCGTCGCACACGTTTTGCGTCAGTAGGCAAGGCACTTTACGGCCGTCGTGCCGCTCATGTCAGTCAACATGGAGGCAGAGGAATCGGAGAAGGCCGCAACGGAGCACGAGCCGCTGAAAGGGACAGAACAGACACTAGACGCGGAGGAGGAGCAGGAGGAATCCGAAGCAGCGGCCTGTGGCCGCAATAAGCGGGTAGTGCCAGGTATTGTGTACCTGGGCCATATCCCGCCGCGCTTCCGTCCTCTGCACGTCCGTAACCTTCTCAGCGCCTATGGCGAGGTCGGACGCGTCTTCTTTCAGGCTGAGGGTAAGTATGCAGACCCTGACGGTGAAAGGAGGAGGTTGTCGCTCGCTGGCGGGGTGCAAGCATGGATGTCCTGTTGCTTCGCTGCGCAAGACTGAGGCACGAGTTGTTGGATTTTGGGGGTGGGGAGTCCGGTGCTCGGCTCCTGGCTGGTGAATCAGTCTGTGAGGATGCTGGGGTGGGTGGGCGGAGGGGATATGGGGAGAGTGGGTAGCGCAGTGCGTCTGGTGGTTCTTTAGTTCTCGGATTGTTACTATTCGTGTTCTTATCCCGGCCCTGCTCACCTCTCTTTCCGGATCTGTTTACTGGTTTGTTACATGAGTACAACAGAGTAAAAGCCTCGTTAGCTTTTCTACAAAACTGAACATACCCCTTTAGCATCGCGGCCTAGGTCAAGAAACTGATCAACCGCCCTTCCTCTTTCCACCCTCAATTTTACATTGAGGTTGGGGACTTGCGCGGGTGTTAAATAGCGTTCAAAGCCGGCCAGATTAAGGAGTGGACAATTAAGGAAATAATTGAGTTAGCTAGAGGAAAGGGTGCAATTTACAGTTCCCTCCCTCCTGGGCAAAAACTCTCAGGTGGAACTCCCGCTGGCAGATGTGAAGAACGATGCGGGCAATGGGAAGTGGTTTTGAGTGAGTGCTGCATAGTCCCTGACGGGTCTTTTTGTCTTTGGCGCTCAGATCGGTTCGTGAGACGCAAGAAGAAAGCAGCAGCAGCTGCGGGAGGAAAAAAGCGGTCCTACAGCAAGGACTACACCGAGGGATGGGTGGAGTTCCGTGACAAGCGCATAGCCAAGCGCGTGGCGGCCAGTCTACACAACACGCCTATGGGTGCCCGCAGGCGCAGCCCCTTCCGTTATGATCTTTGGAACCTCAAGGTGAGGAGATAGATCTTTCTGCCACACCTCTCACCCTCCCTTCTCCCCAGCTCTGGCCCAGGTATACCCATGGCTTCTCATTGGTCTTGTCCCCTGTCTCATCTTTCTCCCTAATCTGCACTATCCTGATCTTTTCTTATTTTCTGCCCACAGTACTTGCACCGTTTCACCTGGTCCCACCTCAGTGAGCACCTTGCCTTTGAGCGCCAGGTGCGCAGGCAGCGCCTGAGAGCGGAGGTTGCTCAGGCCAAGCGTGAGACCGACTTCTATCTTCAAAGTGTGGAACGGGGACAACGCTTTCTTGCGGCCGATGGGGACCCTGCTCGCCCAGATGGCTCCTGGACATTTGTGCAACGTCCTACTGAGCAGGAACTGAGGGCCCGGAAAGCAGCACGGCCAGGGGGTCGTGAACGGGCTCGCCTGGCGACTGCCCAGGACAAGGCCCGCTCCAACAAAGGGCTCCTGGCCAGGATCTTTGGAGCCCCACCACCCTTAGAGAGCATGGAGGGACCTTCCCTTGTCAGGGACCCCTGAGGGCCAGGGTGGCCCCTTCCAGCTCCTAGCCCTGCTCTGCTTCCTGTCTACCTCATACTAGAATGATCGTGACTATCCAGGCAAACATTTTACTGTGTTTCTCAGACCAAGTGTCTCTGCTAAGGGCCCAAACGTGCAAGTTTTGAGGGCTTCCACTATCCTCACTCCGAACTCCTGTATATGCCTGGCTGAGTCACCTAATTCATACTGTCATACTAGCATGATTATGACTATTGCATATGCTTGTTTTGTTTGACTCTTGGCTGCCTACGTCTATAGGGTCCCCTAAAAATCCCACGTTCTGCCCCCAGGAATGGGCCTTTATTTCCAACTAGGGGGATAATGCCTGCAATAATCCCGGCAATCTTTCTCTGTTTAGCAGTCACAGGTGAGGGTGGTATTAGCATCTTTTTTATGTAGAAAAAATTGACAGTTAATGGCGTGGACTGAGTTGGGAAGAAATACATTTCCTAATGTATTTATAGAAAATAAAAATATTTTTTATGCCTTTTTATTTTTGTTGGGGAGGGTCATTGGACAAGTTCCAGCTTTCATCTCCTTGTGTTCACCTTCATCTCCTGATCTTAGAGCCCCCCCGCCCCCGCCCCCGCCACCCACCTTACTGTTTAACCTGGATTTTTTTTTTTATTTAATTTCTGTCTATTATCTTAGCCCAGTTTATCAATTAGTTATCTTAAGTCAGCATTTTCTAAGCCATTGTTTGAGGAAACAATGACAATAGGTAATAACACATCTTAGTATTAAGAGTTTTACAGGCCACTAGTATAAGATAGGCATCGTGGTAGATGCATATACGGGGTGGAATGGGGGCCACAGCATGTCATAGAGCCCCTCTCAAGGGGGACGTGATTGATGATCACAGTCTTCAGTGGTGAGTCAGTCCTCACCAAGTTTTCCAGGTCATTCCTACAAAATAACTGTAAGAATAATAAAGAAGAAGTTTGAAAGAGTCTGGAGTGCTCCCACAATTGCAAACAATGCTTCCTGGGTGGAGTGTTGAGTTGGAACCATTGTAAAGGTGGGCAAAGCCTAGTAGAGAACCAGTGCGCCTCAGGTGCACTTGTATATAGTGGGGCTGAGGCAAAGGAGCCCTGTAGGCTTCAAAGAATCAGTGTAAGCTACTAAGAGGAACTGAAAACCTAGGTGTCACAATAAACAGTCTACACAGTTTCATGTAGACAAAAATTCTGATCATTTTCCAGGCTGTTTCAGGAAGTGGTAGATGATTATGATTAGTATTTTGCTTGTGCTGTTTGTTTTTGTTTTTTGTCTGTCAATGTGATGATCTGTGTTTTATGGGGTAGAGTGGATTTGTCTACCTTTGGCTGTAAAATATCCTAACCACATTATGATCTTGATAGGTGCACTTCACTGGGTAGAGTAAAAAGGACCACACAGTAAAGCTTGGTATAACATTTCTCACAACCCACATACCTCTTATACTTGGCACAAAAACTACATTTCCACTTAGAAACTTTCATCTTGTTTCTCTTTTTATTTCTTATGGGTTTGTTTCATGTGAATTGTTTCCTCAGGTCATTAATGTCTTCAAGTGAAACAGAAAAATCCAGAATCTGAATTTGACAGGCTGGCATATTTATTCAGAATTCCAAGTGCCCATTGCTACTTCTGCTAGATAAAGAGATACCAATGTGAAGAAGAAACTTTCCTTCCAGTTGCTAACAGCTTAGAAAGTACAGTAGACATACTGGGGTTTTATTTAAGACTTTCTTGAATGAAGAAAGAAATTGCATTCCCAGGGTGGACAGACAGCATTAGATAACAGTATGTTCAAGGGTTGGTATTTCAGGCTTCATCTCCAAAACAGTTCGGTACAAAGAGCTCACACCTGCGGCCAGGCAAGCTGATTAAGTCACAGGTGGAGTGAGGACTGAGAATAAGTGGGTGGAATAAAATATCCTAGGGTCTTTCACCTTGACTTTAAGCCTATTGAGGGTAGGAAAATAATTTTTTTACATCCACAATTTTCTTTCTTTTTAAACAGCACTTTGTTTTTTTTATATGAAGTAACTCATTTAATCCACAACTATATAATAGTTATCCCCCCCATTAAAACTGAGCTCAGAGATATGACTCAATTTGCCTCTTAATATTTTATCCTTTGTTCCCCACCTTTTCCCCAGCTTTTCCCAGTGTGCATATAGTGAATGCTTATTACATGAAACTCATGAGAAATGCACGTCATAAACTAGAGAATGAAGTGTACCTGCAAATATGAGTGGACTTATTTTATCTAAGACCAAGAGTAGCAAACGGAGTAATAATTCTCAGTCATGATTCTGTGGTTGCAGTGTATACTCTGATTCAACTTAGTTTCATTCCTGTCTGAGAAGCTGGGACTCTGCATTTGATGGCAATGGAGTGGGCTGATTTCTTTCCAAATAAGTTGAGGTGGGACTCCTGGTAGAATAAGAGGGCTTTAATAGGGTATGTCTGGGTGCCTAAAAACTGCCTTTTTTTTTTTTTTTCCAGAAGCAGGGTCTCTCTATGTTGCTCAGGCTGGTCTTGAGCTCCTGGGCTCAAGCGATCCTCCCTCCTCGGCCTCCCAAAGTGCTGGGATTACAGGCATGAGCCACCATGCCCTGCCCTAAAAACGTTCAAAAGTCATACGTAGAGCTACTCTCAAATTACTTTTCTTGTGATTCCTTATAAAACCTTTCTCCCTGAAATTTGTCTTGTTACATCACAGTAGAATTATGAGGGGAAAATCCTTTGGTGGAAGTCTAGGGACACACTCAGCTCCCCAGGAGGCTTTATATGAATTTTAGCGAATTGCTTAAGATCCAATATTAGATCTGCTGTTCCCCACCCACCCCCCTTTTATTTTTTGAGACAGGGTCTCACTTTGTCACCCAGGTTGGAGTGTAGTGGCACGATCCTGGCTCACTGCAGCCTCCATCTTCTGGCCTCAAGCGATCCTCCCACCTCAGTTTCCTGAGTAGTTGGGACCACAGGCATGCACCATCATGCCCAGCTAATTTTTAAAATATTTTTTCTAGAGATGAGGTCTCACTGTGTTGCCCAGGCTACTCTCGAACTCCTGTTCTCAAGCGATCCACCCACCTTGGCCTCCCAAAGTGCTGAGATTACAGCTACAGCGCTCAGCGCCCATCTTGAAATCACTACCTGACAGAATATTAAAGAAAATGAAAATTGGCTGGGTGTGGTGGCTCACGCCTGTAATCCCAACACTTTGGGAGGCCGAGCCGGGTGGATCACTTGAGGTCAGGAGTTCGAGACCAGCGTGGGCAACATGGTGAAATGCTGTTTCTACTAAAAATACAAAAATTAGCCGAGTGTAATGGTGGGTGCCTGTAATCCCAGCTGCGCGGGAGCCTAAGGCAGGAGAATCGCTGCTTGAACCCAGGAGGCAGAAGTTTCAGTGAGTCGAGATTAAAAATCAATCTTCTGTCACCAGGGCCATTGAAACCACACTTTTTTCGCACCCCTTGTTAACTGGAGACATGAAGGCGGGCTGAGGGGAGAGACCACCAGAAACCTGGCAATGTCTTTTGTAGCTGCGTGGTGTGTGTCCAGCCACCTTCAGCAATTATTGTAGTGGCCAGTCTGTGGCTGACCTGGGCTATCAGGGTTAGCACACTCCAATGAGGTCCCCCAGCACGGTGGCTGTAAATGAATTCAGAGAACTTCTTTTTGTTTTTCACCTTTGCCTCCAATTCCAATGTGTCAATTATCATTGATTATTTAATCAGGACTTTATGGATGGATGTGCAGCTTCTTCTAATCTTTTTTTCTTTTAAGTGTTTAAAAGAATAATGCTGACATGAGTCAATTTTAGTTGTACAAATATACCTACTGTGTAAAAATTGTCAGAAGCGAAATTGCAGAGTCTAAGAGAGACCATCTTTGGTATTCATTTTGTTAGCAAGAAAAAAATAGAGAGTCTGGTAATTTAGGAAAATACCAGTCACAGGAAGCCTGTAGATATCCTAGCTAGAGGTCTCCACCCCTTTCATTCGTGGTCTATTGTGACGTCCAAAGCCTGACCCAAGGAACTGATTCAGGTAGAGGCAACACCAGCTCAGTGTAGAGGGCCAGCTCTGCAAGACCTTGGCCGAGTGACTTCTGCTGCTTTTTGCTGTGGGGACTCTACTGGATAGACTAGCACATTGAGAGAGATGGAGTTTGGAAACAAAATAAGTGGTTCAGAACAATGGGATTTCTTTCAGATCTACTGGCATTTAGAAGGAGCTTGGTAAATTTAATCAAGAAACAAGGAAATGAAGATACCCAAGGAACATCAGGGGAAGAATAATGGTTGGATTTTCATTTAATTTGCCAGACACAATCCCTGAAGTAAGAAAATACCATTTCTCACGAAATTCCGGCACCAGAGGTTCAAACCACCAACCCTACGGTTAACAGCTGAACCCACTAACCAATTGTGCCACAGAAATGAATATGGTGGAAGATCTCCATTCCAACAAGGTTATTTTACTTTTTTTCAGTCTAAACAATACGTTAGAAAGGAGGCTTCTTCTCTGTGCATTGGAAAAATGTTTTCCCATTTTTTGATTTTCATTGTTCCTATGTTAATGTATTTTAAAAACAGAGGTTTATAGGCTTGGCACGGTGGCTCACGCTGTAATCCCAGCACTGTGGAAGTCTGAGGCGGGTGGATCACGAGGTCAGGAGTTCCAGACCAGCCTGGCCAACATGGTGAAATCTGTCTCTACTAAAAATACAAAAATTAGCTGGGCATGGTGGCGGGCACCTGTAACCCCAGCTACTTGGGAGGCTGAGGCAGGAGAATTGCTTGAACCCGGGAAGCAGAGGTTGCAGTGAGCTGAGATCACACCACTGTACTCTAGCCTGGGTGACAGAGCAAGACTCCATCTCAAAAAACAACAACAAAACACAGAGGTTTGTAATAATACAGATATTATTTTTAGAGAGGAACATCAAAGGGTTAATTGGGTGGAGAGCAGGACGCCGGATAGCTGCGTTTTTCAAAATAAGTATGAGTAGAATCAAAGGAGAGACATCAGACTCAATTTATTTTCGGTTCAATAAGGAAGTTTTCACTGATAGTTCAGTTGAGAGAGAAGCCACTGGAAGGCTGTTGCATGGAAGAAAATATATTAAATGAGAAAGACACCAGCAAGAGCAGAGGGGAAAATCATTTAATGCGAAATCTGATACAAATATTAAGGGATAGTACAGTAATTTAAGGGGCCAAACCCCAGGGCACGAAACCAGAAACTGCTGTACATTTGTGCTTGGCCACCAAACTGCGAGCCTGAAATTGCAATCATACCTTGTATTTGTTTTTTAAAGAGTAAGTTGGTGACAGATTTTATTTCATTTCTTTTCTGCCTGTCTTCCTGCTTCCTCTTTTTCTTTCTGCCTTCGTCTAATTCTCCAGTATGTATACCTTCTAATAATTTTCTTCTGGGTTTTATTCTGAATATTATGATTTTCTAAATTTGTGCCTGTTTTTCTCATTTTCTT